CAATTTTGCCTCCACAGCCTTGCATTGAATGCAAATGTTATGCATCAGACAAAAATATCCAGCCATTTCTGCCTACGTGGATAGCTTCCCATACCATCTTAACTGAGAACATGAACAACATCTTGACAAACCTGTAGTAAATCTGTGACTCTAACAGTCAGGTTTTTTTTTCTCCTGTGATTTTTAACACCTTCACCCAATGAAGAAGCCAATGGAACTTTGGACATACATTTTGTGCATTTTGGCTTCCATAAAGGAAATCGTGGTTTGTGGATTTTGGATGTTATTGTACTTGGTAGACTGTGAAACTGAGATAATAAAGATACTAGTGTTAGCAACAGTGCTGAATTTTCTGAATTTTGGTGTGTGTATGAATTCCACATGGCCCCAGATGAACACTGCCCCGAATCTCAAGTGCCACCAAGTCAAGGCAGGTAGGCCATGCCTAGGTTACTTGGAAGATTGGAAAATCCCCAAATCCCCATAGCCCGGCAGATAGTGTGTGAGTTGCAAATGGACCATCATCACCTCCATAATGAGAAGGATGGGCAATAATGGCCCAGATGTCTCGCCTGATGGGCCAGCTAATGACTTAATCCTCTTCCATTTCCCTTGAATATTGCCAGACCAGATTACCTCACCTAGGCAGTCTCACACCTTTGCCCTGTGGCTAGTTTCATGCCTTAAAAACCCCTGGGTTTCTCCCCTCAGTGTTGCTAGTGGGAGTTTATGGAGACTCTGTTCTCTAAGTACCGGCACCTCCATTCAACCCACGCTCTCAGAATGGTTGTGTCTCATGCTACTTCCCCCAATTGTACCCCGGAGAAAGCTTCATCTGTAGTAAGTATCACCTGTCGTTCTGCCTCCAAACCTTTTCCAAGCTAACCCCTGATTTTCCTGAGCCTTGCATGAGTGCATGCATGTATGTGAATTGCTGTGTGATTTTCCCTCTTAATAAATAATACTTTAATTGGAGAATTCTGTCTCTGCAACAATTCTTAGATCCACCGGACTCTTGGGTATTCACATGGGAGATGGTCTCGCAGGGTCCTTGTAGCTGACCCGCTCTCGATTTTAGTTAAATAAAAATTCCCGTTAATAGACTCTTGGCTACACTAGCGAAAGCCTTCAGTTTGCAATCTTATCTTGCAATCAGACCAATTTTTTAAAAAAAAATGTTTAAAAAGGAGTGGGAGAGATTATCATGGGGTCCATGGTATGCTTCAACAGTGGCATCCTATATGAGCCTTCACAGATTATCAATTCACATAGTGATGTATGGGTGCTTGGTACCCAAGTACATGGTTGAGATCCTGTTGGTGCTTTACTCATGTGCAAGTTCTCCTGCAGAAATGGTTGAGCATTTTTGACTGATGCATAACATTTGCACTCAGAGCTAGGTTGTGGAGGCAGAGTTGTGTCAGGCCTTTGGGAACAGTTTAAGGAGAAAGGGATTTAGAAATTGCACTGCAATGTTTGGATGTGCTGCTCCTGAGCCTAGATGCTTTTCCTAGCTTTTCATTCAACTGATATTTTAATTCCATTTAAAGAATTTCACATTTTTACTGCAGAGTTCTCCTCTGTACTGGTTGAGTATCCCTTATTGGGAATTCTGAAATCCAAAATACTCCAAAATAAAAAATAAATGTCCACATGAGTGGCTCAGACAGTGACACTTTTGCTTTCAGTGTACAATATATCTCTTTATGTATATGCAAATATGCCAAAACCTGGAAGGAGGGAATCTGAACTCCAAAATACTTTTGGCCCCCAGTGTTTTGGATAAAAGAGACTCAAACTTATATCTGCTTTAGTTTTTCCTAAGCTGCCTTGAGACCCAAGGCTGGAGAAAAGGTGGGATGTAAATAAAGAATTCAAATCAAGTTCAACTGAATTGAACTGAATTGAAGTAAACAAGGGTTTTTAGGCAGAGGCTGGAGGCTCATTTCTCTTTGGTGGCAGATTCCCTGCACTGACATCAAGGAGTTGGACTAGGTGGCCTCTTGGGGTCCCTTCTAACAAGTCTGAAAATAATAACCACAAACCCAAAGGCTTCTTATGCTTTAACTATGGGCCGATGCAGACGGTCCCTCTGTGCCACCCCGGGAGCGCTGGATCGGGGCCACGGCAACCACATGCTG